GGGGGAGGGGGGGGGAGGGGGAGTAAATGGTGCACACTGATGATGAGAGCGATGCTGGTGCAGGAGCATGTGGTTGATCTGCTCATTACGCTGACAGGGAAGAGGAACTTGGCTGACCTCTGCTGGGCTCTGACAGGCAGTGTGGCAGATGTTGATGTGCTAATGATTTGATCCAGGATGAATGTGTGTTCTCCAGGCTTCCTCTGGCTCCCGTTAACCACCGAGTGCCTTCAGGAGAGTCTCTGCTGCTTCCCACTGTTGCACAGCAAAGACCGATCCGTTTAAAAGCAGTGGATGTGTCATTTTTCTGTGAAACATCAAAAGAAAGTTCGGATATTCTCAGATTTATGTAAATGAATATTATCTTGACCCCGGGTGACCTGGCTTTGATGTGTAATTGGACAGAATAACGGCCGACTCAAGCAGAACAAACGGTGGCAAGAGGTCAAAGCTTTAAATATTAAAAATTGATTTATTTTTAAACATGATTTATGAGAAGCCCCCTCATCACAAACCATAATCCAGCAGGAGAACGATCAGAATCTTTAGTGAGAAAGGATAAGAGGAGTGACGGAGGGAGAGTGAGTGAGTGAGTGTGTGAATGAGTAAGAGAGGGAAGCAGATGGCTGGAAATATAGCCTGCTAAATTATTCAGCTGGACTGGAGTCTGGAGATAGATAGATGGATAGGAGCTGGCATGGACACTTTTATTAGGATTCCGAGAGCTGTGAGGAGAGTGCTTCAAAAACACCGTGATTGCCTTTTGAGACCAAGAAAAGTAATTGCAGCAGGTCTGGGAACAGCTATTTGCTGGAAGAATTAAATCTATGTCCTGAAACTAAAAGTGTGAAACGAGGACACATCTCTGCATCTACCGGAGTTGTGGAGTACACGTTTTGTCATCTTTACATATATTTGATGTAATCGTGCAAATGTCTCAACTGCTTCAGTTTTCTCTCCTAATTCAAAATATAAAAAATCATCTACAAATACCATTATTAGCAATTTTGACCAATACCGATGTATGAGGAGATAAACAGATGAAGGATGCTGTGGTTTAAAAATTGCCTGGAGACCAAACATCCCTGAAAACATGGGTCTCAGAATGACTTGTCTTAACAATGAGGTTGAATGAAATGAATAATGGAAGAACATAAGGATTCTGGCATGAATATGTACTGAGGGTCTCCTGGGGGAGGTTAGGGGTTTCAGGGTCTCCGAGCTCCCTGACGAATGAATGAAGTCTGCTTTAATTTACCTGAAGGTCTTCCTCTCAAGAGGATGTACAAATTAAAAGATTCCTACAATAGGATATTAAACATATCCTATTGTACATATCCTAATGTTAAACATTCTTACATGTATCTTGAATATTTGAAGCGACAACCTTTATTTGCATCTAGATAGGTGTCGTATGCTCAGTCGGACATGTGCAGACAGTAAATACGCTCTCTGTTCTCTCTTATTTTTTTCCATTTAGCCTTGTGCATCATATTTGACTCTCCCAGAATCACAGACACACACACACATTCACAGATGCACATATAGTCCTGAGTGGAGGGCTCCGGGGAAATAGAGCAGAGAGGAAACTACGTGCCTTCGCCAAGCAAGGGCTGTCTGGTGTCATGGCAACCGGTGCAGATTACCCCACCCTCGATCAGTCAGCGAGAGGAGAGGAGAGGAGAGAAGAGGAGAGGAGAGGAGAGGAGAGGAGGAGAATGAGGGATGGGCGAGCACACTCTGAAACACAGACTCATATAAGTGTAAAATACTCTTATAGAGGTTTACATCTTTTCATAATCGGTTAAAATGTAAAAGCTCTTGTTCCTGCAGTGCTTTAGAAATATCGTCTGCAGCCACACGTAGCAGCTAAAGCCCTGACTCGACAGGTAAGCACAAGATGGTGGAGAGAAAGAAAATGAGGAAGGAGGAGGGGAGGGTGGAAAGGGCGAGCTATGACGAGATGTGGTGCAGCGAGAGGTTGAGATGTGTGGAGCGGGCCCATGAACATATAGCAGAGCCGAACGCGTCCGGGGGATGCACCGTTATTAAAAGCAGCAAGGTTACCTGATGAGCAGCTCTGCTGTGGAGGTGGACAGTTTGCAGCGTGCATGTAAACACCTTTCACGCTTCCAGAGCCCTATTGAAGTGAGCTATTACTGTGTTTGTGTGTGAAGGTTAGAGACGCAGCCTGAGAGAGAGAGAGAGAGAGAGAGAGGGGATGATGCTGGGCCGGAGGGGAGGCGAGGCAGTGGTGCATGGACGAGCTGACAGCGAGAGAAAGACGGAAGAGGAGGCGAGGGGATAATATTAGAATCTGCACGAAGGGTACGGAAGGGTGGCTGCAGATTTTCGGTAGCAGAGAAAAAAGGGCGAGACAGACAGGGTGTGGATGAGATAAATGGCATCAGCACGAGGAGAGGAGAGAAAAAAGAGGGAGAGGGAGGGAGGGAGGGAGACAAAGGAGGGAGGCAGACACAGAAGGAGGAGGAGGGGGGATGCTGAGGTCGTTTGAGGACACTGAATCCTAAATTGACTGCGGCACAGCCGTCGTCCACGGTTACATCACAGCCGAGCTCAAACTCAGGATGAACCTCTCTCTCCCCTCTCGTGCTTCGAAGCCACGAGTAGACGTAGCGCGTGTGATGGCGTGTATTTAATGGGATGCACAGGGGAAAGGATGCAGCTGATTACCGTTGGCTTCCTCGGCCGGCCTCGTCCAGGATCATGTGCGTATGGCATACATGGCACCACACTCGGTTAGAAAGGCCGTGTCCTCCTCAGAGCAGCCGTCTGTGATTAGAAATCAAATCGCAGCACTGGCACGACGGTGGGACACGGAATCGTCGAACCACGGCACACAAAGTGGCTCTGTCCTAAACAACCACTCAGTGTCAGAGGTCCCCTGACTCCGAACAGATGCATTTTAACAATATTAGTGGATTAATTCCCCCCTTTTTTTGTTCACGGCATAAATAAAGCTGTGAAATCTGGTTAAATGCCTGTCGTTCTCCGGCAGCACTCCTCCTCAGTTGTGCCTTCACACCTCACGCAGGGAGCTGCCCCGTGCCACCGCAGTCTGCACTGTCGGGGGGGGTTCAGTGCCCGGTTGAAGGGCACCTTGAAAGAACACGCTAACGCACAGAGGCGTGCTCGTTTACCTTCCTTGCTCATACGTGCATCACACGTGGGGATTTGTAGAAGTAATCGCAGTCATGAGCTCACAGCTTTACCTGTAATCTTCACATAATTCCTCTTGAAGCATACTTTCTCCTCAGCAGTCAGCCATCTTCTTTTTTAATCCCAAGCAAGAATGTCTTTATCTGGCTTCGCTTCAACAGGACGGCACGTTCAAGGTTGAAATCTCAACCTCGGGAGAAGGAAACCGCAGATACCCAGTCTGTGGAATAAAGTCATAAAATGCAAAGAACGTGATCAATTTGTGGCAGACGACTCAACCTGTCTCGCAGCAGTTTATCCTCATTTACACTCTGCACTAATGTTCCGTCTGAATCTGTTTATCTCATCTCAATTAGGAGAATTGCATATTAATGAGTCAACGCACACACAATGCATCACAATCTAAACGCCATCAGATCGGCCAGACAACATCCGGAGGTGGTCTGGCTCATATTATGATCAGATGGTATCCCTGCCAGGTGTAAACGTGATCTGTACTTTGTGACCACCTTCTTACAAACGCTAAATTGAAAGGTCGCCAAACTCTCAGGGCTCTCGGTTCCTTTTAATTCCCCCCCCCCCCTCCACTCCCACAAACAGTCCTGTAGTGGTAGAATACTACACAATCACAGATTTGCTCTCAGGTATTTTAATTTAACAAAATATTTCATTTGAATGGACACACAGTTCTCTTGATACTGTCGGTGTCGCCTCCTCAGCTGCTGCTAACAGGTGAGCCCACAGATTTGTTGTTTCGAGGCCGTTGCTCGGTACAAAGACGACAAACAGCTTCACCTTCGATCTCTGCAGCGTAGAATCCAAAAGCTCTTCCTCACGCCGCTGCTCAGACGCTCTGGAGTCATGATTGTTTGCTCGGGACGGCTTCGCTTGCTGGACCTCCATTATCGTTGTGAAACAATAGAACATTGCAGGTTTTATTTCACTGATAGGTCAAGAGGCCGTGCAATAGGTCAAGCTGACAGTGATCGCCCTCTGCTGGATCAGGAGACAAACTACTCCAGATGGTGTGATGCGCCTCCAGACTGTGAAATTTGAATTTGAACATTCCCCACATTGGAATGAATATTATCATTGAGTATTAATCAGATCTGTCTTGAAGCATTAAAGGGGCTCTATGTACGTTTTTGCATAGCATAACAAACTTAGCATTAGCAGGTAATGTCCCTGAGCTGGGGCTGGGTATCAAATAATCAGTCGTTGGTCGTTCATTGATCGTAATCGAGGTTTGAATTTGAAATAATCATGATGTTGATTTGAGGTCATGTCCGGACCGTACTCTGAGCAGCCTCTTGGTGACAACCATCACCGCTGCGTGAAACCACAGTCAGAGAAAACTTACATACTGCACCTTTAAGTCATTTATAACACCAGAGTTCTGGAAGCCTCGAGCAGGAGCCCACTGTCCTCAGTTACCGACACAGATGTAACTGGAACATGGATAATGCCGAGTCGCAGGGCTGTGGTGGGGTCTGTGTCAGCTGACTGCCACACCAGATGGAACAGGGACATTTTTAACATTATTACTTGCACCTGTGAGAAAAAGTCTTCTGGGTCTCAAAGCTTTCAATATTAGACCAAAGTAATTTAAAGCAGGTACATGTGAGAGAAGACGAAAACAGATGAGACAACTTGAAAACATTACCATCTTTCTTCTTTACTCATTAGACGCAGAGAAGCTTGAAGGGTTAAAGGTTGAAACTGAATATTTAAATTTCTGCCACGATGCATTCAGGGACAATCCATCATGAGTAGATCCTTCCATTTAGATATTAACTTGCTTTCTCGTTTCCTGTCCTCAGGAGCAGCCGGGACATCAGACCAGAACCCGACCATGACACTGGCCGTCCATCTGTGAGTACTGATACCGTGTTGTGCATTGTGGTGTGTGTAAAAGCAAGAGTGTTGTGAAACCTTATACCTGTAAGGGAGTAATACACATGGTACTCTATTCTTATGATCTATACAGGACATGGATAGATCCTTATGAGGGAAACACTCTTTAGCTCCGTAGCTCCGCACACCTTCAGTGGCATTTTTGCACTTTTCAGAATTTTTCATTGACTAAACAAGGAGTCACTTAAAGGTAAGAATAACCATTAGTTGCATTTAGTGTGGTAAAAATACACAGGAGCATCAGGACACAGTATTACAGTACAAGCAGAAAAGATTACAAACTAACTCTGCAGCACACGCTGCATTACAGGCTGTGATATATTCACGTGGCAGTAATTATTCTTTGGTAATGTTTAAATAAACCTTCACAGACCCATGCAGAGGGAAGTCTGTCACAAAAAGATCAGTGGCTTTTGAAACAATTTTCAATTTTCCTGTTTTATTTGCAACGGACACTTGATCCTCTTTAGTGTCGTGGTGGACATGTCCCACAGGGCTCCTCTGCTGTCTCTGCCTGTAAAGTGTCAACGGGACGTTGTTTGTTGTTTGACAAGATAGTTCGTGTAAAATTGGTGCAACGCTCACTCTGAGCCCTGGCAGGATGGAGGAGGTGAGTGTTGAACATGTCAGGTTCCTGTGTCGTCTCTGTCTCTGTCCCGTGTGATGCAGCTGTTAGCGTTCAATGGTCGTCACCCTATAAATACTGCAGCTGACTGACGGATCCTGCAGCAGCTGTCTGCTTTCCCACGACACACGGACACAACATTTACTCACACACACAAATGTGCAAATATATGTGTTTGTTGTTGATTTCTTTCTTTCCTTCTTTTGTTCTTTCTTTCTTTTGCATCCGTAAATATTATAATGAGATTAATCTGGTGTGATTACATGAAATCCAATGAAAGTTCCCAAAAAGAGCATTAAATGTGATTATATGTTTACTGCAATATTATTATCATATCCATAATAGTAACAATAACAATACAGTATTATAACGAGCACATTAAGGATGTAGATGAAACGTATTCGTTTACACTACCCTCACATCTTACTTTGTGTCGCCAATTCTCAGTCGGAGATTAAATGGTCATAGATGGAGACGTCCAACCAGAGCATTTTCCTTCTCTGCCTCAAAAACATGATAGAGTGACAGTGAAACAATCATGTGGACGTAGGGAACCCCAGGTGAATTGACACATGACGGGGTGAGACAGTGAGGGGAGGTCAGAGGTTAGGGAGGAGGAGGTGTGTGAGGGATGAGTGTTAGAGACTGGGGAGTAAGAAGAGAGAGAGGAGTCAAAATGAGTCTGTGCATGTTAAGTGTAATTGTTTTTAAACAATGACAATAATATACAGCAATCTTATTATCTGACTACGAGACGCACATGTTGTGCAGAAAACTGAATGATATGACTTAATAGTTTCGATGTTGTATTATGTTTTCAATTTATAGCTTTATAAAATACTTTTTTCACATTAGGGAACATGGGAAATCACAAATGCACACTTGTACAGACGATGCATGTCATTAAAGAAAACGACTTTCATTAGACTGAACACATATCTCCACTAATGATTTAACAGTTGGTCTTGTGAGGATTAAAATACTGTATACAACACCATACGTATTCAATTTTACTTTAATGACATGAAACCGTGGTAGATTAGGGACGTCCATATGTGATTGTTTTTCAGCCTCCTTCATTTTAACGTCAGATCTTTCACACAAGTCCCAACACAATTATAACATGGAAGTTGATGTTTTCAAATATAATACAAATACATAATCCATTCAAATCTGAAAGGTATTATTAAGATTAAGAAACAATATGAGACAAACATGACAGAGGCCTGATAAAGCTCATTCATCTTTGTCACGGATCCAAAATGTTGGACCTGAAACATGGAACTTAAGTAAGAGTACAGAATAAGAATAAAGAAGAATAACAATCTAAAAACCTGGCTGGTCCAGTGTTTGGGTCAGGGTCCATTTTGTTTCTGAAAACTGAGGGAACCAGTGGGAACCTCGTGTTGCTTCTCAGGAATGAACACAGTAGATTTTGAGCCAATCCCACATAAACCGTCCTGCTGCTGTAAATACTCATGACAACAACAAATCTCGATTAATCCACAACAAATGCACTATTTCCCCCATTTGGAGAAAAAACAACAATGACCAGCTGGTTTTTTGTGTATTTGTGTGTTTTGCTGTTTCACCAGACGAACCCTCCTGTAAAAGATTTTCTCAATAACACCTGAGGTAACACACAGCCCATCAGTACTGATCATCTAATCGCACAGCAGCGGTTGTTAATGGGATTTTTTTTATGATAAGAAAAAAATGATAATGATGATTATGATTATTAACAACACATATCCTTTGTACTGATAAGAGAAAAGCTAATTATACAATTATGAAAGCAAAACCTGTTGACGTCAAGCTTTCAACAAACAAGAATAACACTCACAATACGTACATATAGTAGATATGAATACAATTCACATCAATAGTCAATCAAGTTTTCAGCAAAGGCTTTGAAACGTTTTCTCCTGTTGCATTGAATCCTAAACATCATATTATCTTAGTTTTTTTATTTCATGGCAGCTTCAAGCATCTGGCAGCCTCTGTGGTTGTTTGCATGTATCATCTGAGCTGTTCTTTGACCTTCAGTCGACGTTTACTTGAGATGCTTACGATCCCTTTGTGAAAAGCTGGGAATTGTCATCTGCGGAGGAACGGTGGACGCATGTGGACACATGAGTGAGAAAGAATACGATTTTTCCATTAAAGTATATACGGCTTGTCTGTGTTTGTATTTTCCCTGCTGGTCCCGGGCGTCTGAAGGTCATGCCATCCCAACGCTCGGCTTCATGGAGAGCTGCCAATGCTGACGGCTGCAGCTCTGGGTGCTGCACTGTGTGTCTGGCACTTGCTTCCCTCACTACAGGGCATTGATTAAGTGGCACAGCTATGCCTCACCTGCTGGAAACAGCCAATACCGATACAGCAGCAGCTCCAGCCAGCCAATACCAAAGCGGGGAAAGGTTTGGAGAGGCTGGAGACAAACTGGCAGCCAGAAGACAAGCATTGTTGTTTTGTTTTTTTTCCCCTAGTGGAAAAAAAACAGAAAATATCATGGAGGAGGAGTAGAAGAAAGAGTAATAAGATGGAGGGTTAAGGGGGGGGGGGGTATACGGGAATTCAAAGAGAGGAAAAAAGAAGAACCGCTTTTGAAATGGCGACAAGGATGAGCAGGCTTGAGGGAAACAGGCGAGGAGGCTGTACTCGTTTCCACACACACACACACACACACACACACACACAATATTTTCATCCTCTTCAGGCTGCCTTAGTGAAGCTGTCAAGATGAAAAATGAGCAAGTCAGATCTAATAACACGAGAAGTTAAGAGGCAAACTTTTCATGCAGAGCTGTGGAGGAAAGTGTTGATGAGTGCGAACAGAGGAGATGTGGGGTATTTGTCAAGAGCTGAAGCATTGATCCTTTTTGCTCTGGTGCAGTAAAAGTATGAGAGGATTTACCACCACATCTATTGATTCGCTGCCTAAACTGACGCGTCGTGCAAATTACATAATGAAAAAAATGCTTTTATGTAAATGTGGAAAGAAAAAATACAACAGTTTTGGCTTCAAGTAATAGAAGAGACATATAATTTGTGACTCGTGTGTGGGGGGGGGGGGGTAGCGCCGAGCAGTGACAAACTCCCTGACGTTCTACAGAAGCTAGGTTTTAGCCTCCTAGCTATAGCACACCTCAATGCCAGTAGTTGCGAGATCCGACTCTGATGCAGAACTCGTCAAAGATCTTGTTGCTGGTGGACCACGACAGCTACATGCACTTGTAGCGTGTGCCGGTTTATACTTCTGTGTTGAACGGACAGCGTCAGCCCAGCGTAGACTGGCACCCCCTCAGCACGAGTGGGATTCACCTGGGGAGGCCTCCTTCAACGGTCACACACATCATCTTCTCTGACGTCTTCTCAATCTAACTCTGACATTATCTGCTCAGCTTCAGTCATCATCGTATGAAGTCGGCTACACACATCCATCCATCCATCCTGACCACAGTCACTACTCATATTAACATACATACATACATACCCAGAGCTTTGAGCAAACAAGACGTGTTATGTAGAGGCCTATAAGATAGTTTTCTTTGGCGTTACGGATAAAATCAAAGCAAGGATATGTTTCCTCTCACCCACTCATCCTGCCACGATTCTAAACGTTCTTTCTTTGTTAGAAAATAACTGACATTCCCAAATGTATTATCTGGTATCAGTTATACGTAACACAGGCATGCTTGAGCTGTTTTGATGCGTCATCGGGGAATAAAAGCTCCAGCGATTTGATTTATGTCACTTTCTGAAAGACTGACGTTGCTTATATATTTACAGTATGCTTCAGTGGAGGTTCAGTGGTTTGAAGCTGTACTCAAATCTTAAGAATTCTTTCGCCAAAGTTTTTAATTCTTATCAGGGAGGAAAGCAACTTTACACTCTTCATTAAGCACCAGATGAATTATCTAAAAGAGAGAGACTGCAATATACCTTATTAGTGCTTTAAGTGAGCACTTTGATTAAAGACCTTAACATGACGGGTTGGTAGCAACAATACAGACCAGAAAGTGGATTCGCAGTCATTTGCACAGTCTTTTGTGTTCCTCATATACTCACTGAGCACTTTATTAGATCCACCATACGTAACCAATGACGGAAAGTTATTTAACCGTAAAAACCAACAATCAATCTGCATATGTCAAACCTTGAATGTTGTATGTAGAACAAGAACAGGAGCACACACTGTCCTTGTGCAAGTGCGTAGCTGTCTGCATCCATGTCTGCACTGAAACATGGTGATGAGGATGATCCACAGTTATTTTTGCTGGATTTGGGTTTTTTTGCCAATTTTTTAAATGTTACACAAATTATTTTTACT